ACAAGAAGGGGAGTAACCATAGCAACAGAAAAATCAACATGTAAAAAACCTCTTCTAAAGCCGACAGGAAAAGTTTACATTTAATAAAACATATTTTCAATTCCTGTCTCTAAATCTTTGAATTCAAATAATTCCATCACTTGGAGGTAATAAAATTAGAATTTTGGTAGTTTTGGCAACACAAATGGCTTTCTAGTTTTGGGTTCCAAAACTGTGAGGAAATACTGTTAACCTGTCAATTTTATTATCTCTATAATTAAAGGGCCATTTGAACAAATGTCATTAAATAATTTTTAACTGAAAAGATTTTCTCTGTATTTGTTCTGCTATCAGTTATAAAAACAGCCTTGAAGAGTACTTGACATTTTAAGAGACTTATTGCATGTGTGACAAAAACATAGGGTGACACAGTTCACAGCAAAGACAGAGAAGCAACCTAAGTGTCCAGCAATGGATGGATGACTGGATAAAGAAAATGTGCTACATATATAAGATGGAATACTATTCAGCCATAAAAAAGAATGAAATCACGTCTTCTGCAGCAACACGGATGGAACTGGAGGCCATTATGCTAAGTGAAACCACTCAGAAATAGACAAATTCTGCATGGTTTCACTTATAAGTGGGAGCTAAATAATGTGTATATATGGACATAGAGTGTGGAATAATAGACACTGGAAACTCGGAAAGGTGGGAGGGTGGTGAGGGATGAGAAATCACTTAATGGGTACAATGTACACTATTTGGGTAACGGTCCCACTAAAATCCCAGACTTCACCACTGTGCAATATATCCATGTATCAAAACCACATTTGTACCCCTTACATTTATACCAAAAAAAAAAAAAAAAAGAAAAGAAAAGAAAAGAAAAGAAAATATAAGGTGTTACGGAGTTCTCTTGATATGAATGGAACTTTGTGAAAATAATTAACATTAGGAAAGGATCCGCAGAAGTAACTTCTAGTGTAAGTTTCTGAGACAGCTCTCACAGCCATCTCGGTAGCCTGTACCCCAGTGCATAATGGAGGCTCAGCAGCCCTTATGTCAGTAAGTGCCCCAGAGGCATCATTAAGTTCTGACATAGCTATTCTTGCTCAAGGAGCTCATGCACCTCATCTTAGAACTAGCACATTTCACGTTCCAGCATCATTTTGCATCATTTGATAGAGGAATATTCAGTTGGGTATTGGGATATATGGTACTAGTCCAGCTCTTCAGCTAACCAGTTGTAGGCCCTGGACAAGTTATTATTCAGCTCTATGGCCATGGGCTGGAAGAGTCTCTCAGATTCTTCCCTGAGAAGAGACAGTTAAAGAGTTAAAGGGAAAGAGGAGATGACTTGTGTTTAATACCCACTTTGGGCCATTCCCAATACTAGGGTTTAAAAGTATTTTTTGGCAAGGAACTGGCAAGATAGATGTCAAGTACATGTGTTGACATATGAAGACACATTCATAAGCAGGCTGAGCTAAGGGATAGGGCCTGGGTTCAACCCTAGATCTGTTTGATGCCACATGAGGTTGTCTGTTTCTCAGACATCACTTCACCACCTTTACAACTGGCTCTGCCTGCTGTGTATACAGGTTGACCCCTGAGTGCTAGTTACATGCACTGAAGCCATCCACAGATTTTCAGGGCATGTCTTCTATTTTCTAAGCATAGAAGATTAGGTCCCTTGGAAAGTCCCTCTATAATCTTCCTCTTACCTAGGCAACAACTGTAACAGTATTTTCATACCAAATATATACCATTTTGCCATCTGTGTTTATCCGCTAATAATCTATCACTAACATCTACTTATGTTAATAAATAATTTAATCTTTATAAAGATTGAATTAGATTATACTATATGATATTCAATTCCTTACTAATGAATATTTTAGTCCTTCTAATTTTGTTCTCCTTTAATAATCAGAAAGAGAAATACATCTATGGAAAAAATAAGGGTACTAAAATAATTTTTAAGAAGCCACAATATGTTAAAGAACAAATCAAGAGCATCAAGTCAACTTAATCTTCATGTTTTCCTTAAATCTTTGCTTAGAATCAAAGTTGCCTACAATCTAGGAGCATCTTTTAATTAACCATTGTTATATTATACATTTGAACTGAAATGCATCTGTGGGCCTTGGGGCCAGGATTTCTTGGTAGCATCCCTGAATCCCACTTTAAAAATGCGGTCATGCTATTTATATGAGGGGAAAAAAATAAACAGCTATGTGAACAAGTTCCGGCTGAAAGTGAAACATACACACAAAAACAAATGTAGTTTTGTGGTTAGTTGAAAATTCACAGCTGGTATAAGCTTTTCTTTCCATTTTAATTAAAGTGTTTCCCCCTCCCATGCAATGAGAAAATGCTCTTTTAGTGCTGATTGAAAGACCAAAGTCAGAGCAAAAGCTGTTTGAAAATTCCGAGGCTTAAGTTAAGCTGCTTTAAAAGCTGCTATGTGTACCAAACAACTTCGAAATTTCCTAACAGGATTTTGTAGAGTTCCAGTAAATCTTTCTCCCCATCACTTCTTTGCTCTCTTACTTTGGTGAAAACTAAAGTCAAGTAATGCAAAGGTCATCCAAGTAGACAGAAAAGCAAAAACTATACATTCATGTTAAAATTCAAATTATATGTAAATAAGTAACCATAATTAGTCATATACAACTATATAAACTATCTGTTTATTAGTTCTTTCTGATGTATTTTATAGTGCAATGATAAGATTCATGTAAAATTAGGTCTGTAACTTATTACCCCCATTTTCCTAAGAGAAAGATAATGAGTTTTTTTTTTTTTTTTTATTACTATTTTCTTCTTTTCTCTTTCCTCCCTTTACCTTGTTTTCCATTTCCTACTTAGCTCTTTAAACGCAACCTTTACTTGCCCTTTACCAGACACTCTCTACAGGGCAAGCTTACCTAACTATGTGCTTGCTTAGAAGCTCCTGGACTGGAAATCTCTCCCACACAGAGATTTCTTTGAGACAACAGTCAATTTACAACCTCAAGTACGCCCGAGATGAAACTCTCCCCCCACTGGAGAGTATCTCAGATAACAGTCACTTTACAACCTAGCTCTGCCTATGCTGGCACCAGCTTAACCACCTGGAAGATAAGGCACTGAAGCCACTGACATAGACCTTTACCTGCTCGCTCCTTCCCTCATTTGCTGTTTATGCCAAGTCCCCCTTTAAAAGCCTCTGTTTTCTGTCCCCAAAGTGAGGTGGTACCTTTAAGGGAAGGGGTCTGTACTTCTTCCCCTAAGCTAAGCTATGGAATAAAAAGTCTCCTTATACCAGAACTCACTCTTGTTATCTGGACTCTGCAAGTGGTAAGTGACTGAACTGGCGACTTTGTTATAGGTCTATATGAATTTTTAAAAATGATGGTCAAGCAGCTTTATTTATTAATAAATAAACAGAGTGGATCAAATGTGACAGGGGTAATGTTTCTTGCTGTGATGACAGATACTACCCTAGCAATCATCTACCGGGGTTTCTCCTGCTGTTTTTCCCTCTTGAGCCCTTTCCCTGCAGGAGTGGTTGAGATGCTAGGAACATGGCTGAGGGTAGAACAGGACACAGCCAGCTGCTAATAAGACACTGTCAGGCAGCCAGCCACTTAGATCAGCATCTCTCCAAATCTTTTAAGAGAACATTTATTATTTTATTGAGGCCAGTATGGTTTCGGCTATACCCAAATGACAGCCATTGTTACTTGTAATGGCTTAGAGCTTGTTGGGGGGTTTGAAGGCAGAGAGTTTGCCTCCAACGAAGGCCCCAGAGGCTTTCTCTTTGGTTTCTCCTCACAGCTGGGATGCATCCTGATTTCTTACAATACCTGGTATTGCCATTTCTTGACACTACAGAGCAGCACATTGGCCATTTCCATGAGTACATGTCTTAGTTTCCTAATTTATTCATAAATTACCAATCTTACTGGACAGTGAAGAAACAAAGGCTGCCCATAAATGGTCTAAAAAAAATAGTAAAATGGTGCATGACAGAAGCTTTTGTAAGCAGCATGGAGTTACTGAAGTGATTCATACGTGAGTCAGCATAAGGTATCTCTAATACGAGATACAGAACCTTTACAAATGCAGAGCAGTGCCTCAAGACTTTCCAGTGGGACCCACATGCAAAATGAACTTCAAACTGGGACATTTCTTAGAATATAAGCACAGTCAGAAGTAAGAAAAGGTCATGCATTTCAGGCAGGTGGTTAAAAAACACATTTTTATAAAAAAACAAAGAATTGTCAAAATAATAATCACATTAGTGATTACTGACACGTTGGCACAGCAGTATAGCTGATTATTTGATCTTGAAAACTCAATATTTCATTTTGGTTTGAGGTAAACAGACATTTACAAAGGGCACAGGAGTTGAGATTTGTAGTCAGATTGCTTTTAAAGAATTTTTTAATTTTATTATTCTTGTTTAGACAAAGAGTCTCACTCTGTCACCCAGGCTGGAGTATAGAGGCCCAATCACAACTTGCTGTAACCTCAAACCCCTGGGTTTAAGCAAAGTCTTCCCATCTCAGCCTCTCGAGTAGCTGGAACTATAGGCACATGCCACCGTGCCCAGCTAATTAAAAAAAAAATTTTTTTTTGTTTGGTTTTTGTTTTGGTAGAGACACGGTCTCACTATGTTGCTCAGGCTGGTCTCAAATTCCTGGTCTCAAATCTTCCCACCTTGGCTTGCCACAGTGCTGGGATTACAGCTGTGAGCCACTGCATCCAGCCTATAGTCAGATTGCTTGATTTTGAATTTCCACTCAATTTACTAATAATATAATCTTCGGGCATTTTCTTAATCCCTCTATGCCTTGGTTTCCTCATCTATATAATATAGAGAGTAATTGTACTTCTATTATGTGGCTGTTGTAAGGATTAAATAAGGTAATTCATGTAAACAGCTTAGCACAGGGCCTAGAACAAAGTCATGCTAGTGGCTATTATTGTAATGACTCTTATCATTCCCAGGGCCAAAGTAATTCACTTACCAAGATGAGTGTCCATCACCTTTGCACAGTATTTGCACATGGCATCCAGGTCATTCAACTGTCCTTGAAGGAAGGAAATTTGGGCTTCTAATTCTTCTTCCTAAAGTAAAGGGATAAACATATGGAAATGTTTTAGAGATTGTCCAATAAAATCCCCATAGTTTTCTAAATGATCTAGACTAGTTTAAAGCAGCATGATACCTTTTTAAACCTAGACAAATCAAAACAGCAAATAAAAACAAAATAATAACTGCCACCGCCAGCAAAATAAAAAAAGGGTAAAATGGAAAATTTTAAAGGTCTGGACTTTTCCTAATTGAATTCGAGCTTTAGGCCATGTGTAAAGTTATAGTTAGATTGCATATACAATCTTGCATTGCATAGATTTGCATATACAACCTTGTATTTAAAAAGCACACAATATATCTTCAATAAGCACTGGGCAACACAAATTAAGAGGGCAATTTGGATTTCAGTGAACTATACTTCCTAAGCAGTTGGTACAAAAACATTGCATCTTTTTCACACATTTGCAAAACCAAAGATTTCCCTTTTTATAAGACAAATCTCTAAGCCTGGAACCTGGACTCTGTAAAAAAAAAAAAAAAAAAAAAAAAAAGAAAGAAAAAGACATATCTCATCATTTTCTAGACAATGATAATCTGATAATTTCTTAACATGTGAGATTTCCTAAAGCGCTTGGAAAAGTTTTGCCTCAGCAGCCCATAAATTGTTGCTCCTCTCTCTTGATATGACACTAGAATATTTCATTTATTTGTTTGTTTCTAGGAAAAAGTACTCTGGGTTGAATAATTATCTAAGTTAAATTACCTAAAAACAATCTAACTGTAACAAAAGGTTGAAGTCTTTTTTTTTTTTTTTGTTAAGGAAAAGATAATATAAGCAAAAAGTTTCCCAAGGAAATTTGGAAGGTTATGGGAGTTTTTTTCAAGAGAAAAAGAATAATCCTCATCCTTTAGGATACTCTAAACAAAGCCAGCTGGAATACAAAGAAAGGATATTGCCAGAGCTGGAATAGGCTACAAAATTGATTTTCCAGTCTTAGATCTACTTGTCCTTTTGCATAAGAATCCTCTGTATCATTAAAAAAGAAGGAAAGAAAAACCTACTAAGGTATCCTTTCTCTTTGAGAAGGAGTATAATTTGACTTGTACATGGAAATTAATAGTTGAAAAGGTTACTTGTAGATATATCCCATTTTAACAATAGGCACATGTAGCACTGCAAATTATTGTTTTTAACTGCTGTCTCAAGAGCTAGCTCTTAGGAATAGGCATTGAAACACTTGACACAGAAAACAGACGTAGTGCTGTGTGCGGTGGCTCATGCTTGTAATCCCAGCACTTTGAGAGGCAGAGGCAGGCAGATCACTTGAGGTCAGGAGTTCGAGACCAGCCTTGTCAACATGGTGAAACCCTGTCTCTACTAAAAATACAACAAATTAGCTGGGAGTGTTGGTGAGCGCCTGTAATCCTAGCTACTCAGGAGGCTGAGGCAGGAGAATCGATTGAACCCGGGAGATGGAGGTTGAAGTGAGCTGAGATCATGCCACCGCACTCCAGCCTGGGTGACAGAGCAAAACTCTATCTCCAAAAAAAAAAATAAAAAAAATTAAAAAAAAAAAGAAAGAAAATAGACATAGTAGTAGCAGCACTAACCATGTTCTTTATATATCCTACAAGTGTAGTAGCCTCTCCTCCAATACTCAAATAAGAACAAATACTTCCAGAAGAAGCTTAGCCAAAGGATAATTAGAAGTAATTCTGGAGAGGTGGGGTTGTCTTCCTAACTCTGCAGCTGAGCATTAAGGTAGAAAAGGATGGGCTGTTTCAGGGCTTTTTTCTACTTCTTTTTCTCATTTGTTTCTGCACAGCCTTGAATCTCCCTGGTTGTCACAGGAAACTAGGAATTAGAGAAAGAAGGCTACATCTGCTGTTTAATAATGGTTGTGGTTAGTCTCCAAAGATGGCCACCATCGATTTCTTCCCTCCCTGACTATGCATGTTGCTTTATTCATTATGAGGTCATATGTATTCCCCCTGTCCTTGAATCTGGACTGGTCTATGACTTGCATTGATCCAGAGCATGTAGCCGAAGTCAAACTGCTAATTTTGAGCTAGTTTAAGGGGCCTGCCAGCTTCTGCTTTCATGGAAGCTAGCTACCATGCTGTAAAGAAGTTCAGGCCACAATACTGAAAGAAAGGAGAGAACATACAGAGAAAAAGAGGGCACATGAGAAGCACAGACGTTCTGGACATGTGAATAAAGTTTTTCTGGACTTTTCAGCCTGAGCCAGCTGAAGCCGGCCTAGTAAGTGACCCAGTCAAGACCCTTCCTGGAGCAGAAGAAGAGCCTGAGCCCTGCTCAAATTCCTGATCCACAGACCTATGATGGGGGTACTAGATTTTGGAGTAGGTTTGTTATGCAGCAATAGACAACAGAAATAGAGGCAGAATGAAAACAACATTAACTTAGCATATGGCATGAGGAAACGTAAGTTCTATTCCTGGTCCTGTCATTAATAAGTCACGGGACCTTAAGTAATTCTCTGTCCACTCTGGACCTAAATTCAGTACTCTCAGGTGAATGCAAAAGTTAGAGGCTTTGCTTCCAAGGAACTTACAAACTAGTAAATGGAATAAGAAAGTTATATGGTCCTGGTCTACTCTACTGAACCATTAACCTTTTTAGTTTGTGGCAGACACAAACCCCAATTAGCTGAGTCTAGAACTGTACCGAGGCCAGAGTTTGATAGTCTTTTAAAAAGAGAGGGCCAATCTATGGCCTGTGTTTCGCCTTACAAGTGGCTACCAATTGGGGTGCTGATAGCCCGGAGTGGACCAAGGGCACAAGGAATGCAGTGCTTCTTGGTTTAAAAACTTCTCCTCTGTTTATTCCATGCATTAGTTTAATTTGGATTAGCCACCCCTTCTTTTAAAACACGAAAGCCGTTGGGAGCTTTGATACTCAGCAGTCATTCCTACCTGAATGGATTTATTTTCTTTTGCAAAGGAAATCAAACTGGGAAGGAAGAACTTAGAAGACACGCTTTAGAGGACGTAGGCACAGTCTGTTGGCAGTGAGGTGCTGAACAGCTGGTGGAAAGTATGAGCTTAAAGAGGGCCTCTTTCTCAAAACATTTTATTTCTCTAGCAGGAACATTACTGTAATAAAGACTGTGATGAGACTGGGGCCCTCTAACTTGTATAGTTAATGGGGAAGTCCTAAGAGTGTAGCAGTCCAGGGTACTTGCTGGGCGAACATGCAGGGATATAAAAACACAAATTTCCAAGTTTGCAATTTTTGCTTAGGGCTCTGGTGGCAGCCACTGAAGTGCATCTTGAATACTTAAACCCCAAGTAGATCTTGATACAAACAGAATCTGTTTGTCTCAATATAAACACATGGAAAAAGGCAACTTTGAATCAGTTAAACCTTCTTTTTCAAAGGGATAGTTATATAAAAGCCGAATATGTGAGATAAAAGAGGACTACTCTGGTTGAAGCAGGTTGAGGTACCAAGAACCTCATCCATAGTCTGAAATCTAATGTATTATCCTCTAGAGTTTGCTTAATCTTAAAACATTTCTAAACCCTTCAACTATCACTCAGACTTTATAAATAGAAATGGAATCACTTGGAGGCAAAAGGGTGGCTTGTCATTTATTCTTCACTATATTATATAATTACAGATAAAAGAAAGAGCCAAGAATCAAGCTTCTAAAACTGTGGGAACTGACTTTACATTTTTATCTTTTCTCATCCTCCACACTCCTCCCAACTAACAATGCTTTAGACATTGACAGCTTTAGTTATGTGTTTTCATTAAATTGGTCCTCTGTAATAAAAATGCTTGGCTAATTGCCTTGAGGTTTTATGAAACCAACCAGTTACCAGTTAGTGTAATTATGTGTAAATAAGACACTGAAGATAAATGTTTATTATATTTACTTTTATGTGTATGTCCTGCCTTCCATTATAGGAGGGCGTAGGGTGGGGAACAAAGTAATGCTGAAATAGACACACCTGGGTTCACATCCTATTTTTCTCAGTTATTAGCTGTATAATCTTGGACAAGTTCCTTAATTTCTTGGTCTACTCAACCCAACCTGGAAGGATTGGGGGAGAACAAATGGGAACATATGGAGAACACAGCATCTGGCACAGAGCAGACACTCAATAAAGGTAATTATTCTTTCTTTAAAATTTTTTTTTTATAATCAAGTTCAGACAGTGAAATGGATTTAAATACAAAGTTTTATGATTCACTGTTGGAAAACAGGCTTTACAACCTTTACATAGCTTAGCCCAGAAAGATTAGCTTAAGAGCCCATCACCGTCTTAAGCTCTGGATAGCAAATTAATGTGCAAGGCAAGAAATTGATAGAGGAGGATAAAGTTAGGCCACGTGTAGACTACAGCGTGCAACATCACCAATCGTAATTGGTGCCCTATAGCAAAGGACCAGAAGATGAGGGCCACTCTATCAGAAGAGAAAAATAACTAGTATCAAATCCCTTTACATTGATTGTAATATACCAGACACTGAGCTTTGCTGTATTAAAATGTTTACTCTTCACACAAACTTCTGAGGTATATTCTCTCATTCTCTCCTACATAAAATATGGTCTACTCCTCTGTAAGCCACATTCTCTGGAAGTGTATGCTAAGGTTTAGATAGCTCTTTGAGAACCCAAGTCACTTGGCCTGCTACTCTCATTTCTTCCCTGTGTACACATTCCTTCCTATGCTCCATTACTATGGTCCTTCCCATGAACAATCCCATATTTCAGTTTCCTCTACCTGAGATTCACCAGTTGTAATGCTGAGTCCTAATGCCAAATTGCTTATTAAATTGTTTTCCTTCAAAAACATACAGATATGACTGGCTGTGTTGTTTTGTTGTTTGTTGAATGATTTTCTTTTTGACTAAATAATCTGAAGAAATCGTTTTTTGAATTTGCTTTTTAATAAGTGGTGTTTCTACTATCATTCTGCCCCAAATAGTTGATGCATCATTATACTTCTATTTAAATGTTATGTATCTCAGTTGTTTAAATTTAATATATCAATTTTATTA